TGTGAATTTAGGGTAATTTTTGGGTTCAGTTACCGACCAAACCTGATCTTTTCTTGTTTTGGACTGGCAGAGGATTTTCCTTGGACTTGGTCCTTTCGGTAAACTGGTTGAGGACTCGTGACATCATGGCTTAGGTAATATGCATTGAATGCCAACCTGGCGCGCCAAACCGTCGTCAAACCAAATTCTCAAAGATTCCAAGATCTTTTCTGACTTGGCTTCCTCTCATACTTAAACTACATGTACATGCTACATTTAACAGGAATTGGATCCACTCCTGACCAGGATATCAGTATCCTTTTGATTCATTAACACGGATCGTTGGATTAAAATTCAACAGAGAGCTTTTTTGAAGGTTATAATAATTGTACACGTTGGATCAAAATCTAACAGCCCGTGTCAGTGGATCAGGAGGATTTTGATCTCATACTTAGGAGAGGATCCAATTCCCATTTAACACATGTTTGCATGATTATTTGTATTATTTCTTTAATAGGAGTAACGTTAGGTAGATCAAATTTATTGATCAATTTTGCAAATAAAATTATGTGTAGAAAAAAACACATCAATCAATACTTAAAGAAGAATCTTATCTCTATTATAAAGATAATATAAATATATAGTGAAAGTAGCATTTTTATTAAACTTCCCCAAACTCGATTACTCATTGCATATTTATTAAACTCCCCCAAAGTCGATTACTCATTCCTGACGTGTATTTCTAATCATAAATCTTAGTCATGCAAGATTTTTTAGTGTGCTCAGAATACAGGTGATACATTGTGGGTCACTATATAAATGGTGACATACTTGTATTAAAAAATTAACAACTTAAAAATAAAAAATCCCACCATTTATATAATAACACATAATGTACCATCCGTGTTCATGGAAGAATGAAATTTCTCTCAAAACTCAACTTTCATTCTCACCTTAATTAACCACGTGTGTTTTTCTGTAGGAAATAAAATAACTTTTATATACTCTGCTTTAGACTTTAGTAGCCCAATTGACATAAAACGTGTTTATCTTTACTGTTTTAGTCTAATAATGAAGAGTTACGGGTCGTTAATAAATAGTTTTTATAAACAATTAAAATTACTTATGATATCAAGTAGGTTATTATCATGTGAAGTCCAATGATTATACGTGTTTCACATCACTCAATTGTTGTATCTGCGTATGAAATTTAAAAATTTGTCATACGTGATGAAAGTATTAAGAGTATAAATCTATCATAAAAAATAGTCGAATTAACTTTCTCTAATATTAATTTTATAATTAAATCTCAATTGTATTCATGATATCAATACCTAACAATGTATTATTCTATATTACGAATCCCTATCATGACACTGAATCCAGTTGACATATATCCTTCTGTTGCTTCGGTGTCTCACTGTCCATACAGCTTCTAGTTTCTGGTATTGGTGGAAACCCCTCTTATACTTTGACCTTTGAATATTTTGACCTTCCCCTACCTCGCACTTGAAAAAGTTATTGCTACCTAATTAATTAATTATTGCACCTCTGACTTTCGTAGTTGTTCAACCTATATAAACACTTCCTCCCATTTTGCCTTTTTCATTCACAGATTCAGTCGGAACGTTTCCCACATCTTCCTTACTAGCTACTTACGCAGACAAGTCAGAACTCAGAAGAGAAAGTTCATATTTTACATATATATATATATATATATATATATATCATCATCATCATGAGTTACAGTTCGGAAGAAACCGGGAGTACTCCATGCAGCACATCAAACAGAAAACTCAAGGGGGTGCGCCAACGAAAATGGGGCAAGTGGGTGTCCGAAATCCGAGTTCCGGGGACCCGAGACCGGCTTTGGTTAGGTACCTTCTCCACCGCAGAGGCGGCAGCGGTGGCTCGAGACGTTGGGTATTATTGCTTGCGTCGACCTTCCACGTTGGAAGGCCTGAACTTCCCGTTGATGTTACCGTCTTGTGTGAGGGATGATATGTCGCCCAGGTCGGTGCAGAAGGCAGCTTCGGATGCTGGCATGGCAGTGGATGCTCAGCTGATTGCCAACAAGTCCCCGCCGCCGCAGCCAGCTGGAACTGGAAGCAATGCTGTTGAGACGGCTGAGTTTTGGGAAAATGGTTATGTTGGACAGACTTCGACTTCGACTACTACTTCTACTTCTATGAGCAGCTGGGGAGGAGGACATGGGTTTGGCAATGGCGGTGATCATCAGGGGGTGCTTGAGCATTTCCGTTGAAGATTATGATCTCTAAATCTAATTATTAAGTGTCGTCAGTCAAAGTTATACGGTTTTTTATTTTTTTTATTACAAATGACATTCTATGCTGGTTTACGGAACAAATTTGAATTCGGGACGCTGCATGATGGTAGAGAAGGATCCTAACCATCAGAACAACCCATCACCGCTTGTAACTATGATTTTGGTCCATGGAAGTTTTAGCAATGTTAGCATAAAGTTAATAACTAGAACCATGCACGTGTTTGTGGGTAGATTTGGTAGCACTGTATCACACTCACCGTAAGACTAAGTCTAGCTATGCCAAAGGAATGGAAACAGACTGGTTATGATTTACAATACGACTTTGACCTCCTAAAAAAGGACTGGAGTTGCATCTTTTTAATATTGACAAAGACTGAATTTGAGACCTTGTTATAAGGAGAGAAGGGGGAAAATAAATCTAGACTTTCGTGTAAATTCATTGAATTGTTTGAATGTACAAATAATAAACAAATCTTGAAAAAAGAGGAAAACAAATCCAAAATTTCGTATGAATTCATTTAATCAACTGAATTACTTGAATGTACAAATAATGAACAAGTCATGTTTCGATTACTTTGTTGAATTCAGCGATCCTCTATGGAAAAAGGCAAGTGTCCTATGATGATTTGGAACCCAATTAATTAGCACTTCAATAAATTTTATGGTGAATTTCTAAACCACGTTTTAGTGCTGCAAATTGAGCATATATTTTAAATCCAACAGAAACCTTAGAAAATGATGCAATTCTTTGTGCAACCGGTGACACCAAGTGACAACTATTAACAAAAAAGCGATATACTAACATGGAAATCATTTATACTATTGGTGGTGCCACTGAAACAATATATTAGTTTCTTTCCTTGTTAGGCACCTTCTCCACAAAGTGACAATAATTGTTTCTTTCCTCTTTCTGGGTTAAAACTACAAATGTTTTTCTTTAGAAATAACTTAAGCATCATTCATAAGATAGTACAAAGATGCCCAGACGAACTAATCATCACTCAAAAATGAAAATTCTGAAACAAATGTCATACTTGATAAGAAGAAGCGCATGTTTGGATCGATGTTTCGCCGGAACATAGCTTTTGATAATCAAATCTTACCCGTAACACTGAATATAAAAAAATCTAAAGCCTTTGATAATCAAATGTTACCCGTAACACTGAAGGGTACGTAACATTGAAGGTGGACCCTAAACTAATAATAAAATGAAAAACCCAAAAATTAACTACGCGAAAAATTTGAATAGGAAAAAGCACAATCTAAATACATGAAGAAAATGTTTACCATATGGTTGTTACTTGTTACAATGAAGAAAGAACGGATGAGAGGCTTGGCACCTTATCTCATCCCGGTGAAATGGGAGGAGGCCGGTTAAACTGAAGAATAAATGAGAGGGGATGCGGGTGGACTCCTGGGAGAAAGTTGGTGGAGTTGGCGTCGACATGCGCTTTGACCTGGTGGCGGCGGCGGCGCGGCAAGAGAGCTAAGTAAGGAGGGAAGGGGGGAAGAGAGAGAGAGAGAGAGTCGTGCGTTTTGGGGTTTCTTAATTGGAACGCTGGGCTTCAATTTCGGTCTCCTCATTATCCAACGGTAACAAGTGGCCCGGAAAATGCACCCTTTTTTTGGGTATTTTATTTCAACCTTGAAGTGAAGGTGACGTTTATTATTTTATTATTATTAGTAGATGAGTTTGGTTTTGAGATATTTTACTGTGAATAAATATAAATTTTAAAATTTAAATTTATTTAATAATAACAAGTAGAATGATAGGCATCATCATCATTTAAATGGTCAGCAAAAATGCACCTTTTTTTTTTGAAAATATTTTTGCTCGCCCCTCCAAACTTTCAAGTGATAGAGAAATATTTCAATGTGCTAGAAATACGGTTTAATATATTATGTCAAAAATAAATTGATAAAAAAAAAAACCTGTTTGAGTTTACAAATAAGTTGAACTATCCTTTATATGCTAGTTAATTTTAGGATGGAATCCAACTTTTTCAGACACCATGTAAAAGAAGGCTAGTTCAATGTATTAACCAAAAGCGCTTTCATTGACTTACAAAACGTAACTTTATACCAAAAAACAAAACTTTTTATTCTACAATCAAAGCAAATATATGGAAAGTTGATTCTTCTATACAACCAATTACAAAATTTTCAGCCAAGGAACTTGGGATATAGTTGACTTCCCAACAATTAGACCCTCTCTTTCCCTTTCTTTGCATACAATTTGTCAGATTGATGTGCATTTGCAAGCATATTAACTACCCAAATAAAACCTCCATTTGTACAAAAGGAGTACCGATGGAAACCTTGGGAGGTTTGAGCTAGCTGTACGTAGAGGAGGAAGAGACAATTAAGGCAAGGAAAGTAAGCTAATTTTGCTAAACTCAACTTTGATGGTTATGTGGTTTCTATCACATCCCGGCCCGGGGTGGATTACTTTCCGGGCCTGCACTACCACCGTAGCACGATATTGTCTGCTTTGGGCTTACCATTCCCTTACGGTTTTGTTTTTGAGAACTCACGGGCAACTTCCCAGTGGGTTACCCATTATGGGATTGCTCTAGCCCCCTTCTCGCTTAACTTCGGAGTTCCTATGGAACCCGAAGCCAGTAAGCTCCCAAAAGGCCTCGTTCTAGGTAGGGATGAGAATATACATATAAGGATTACTTTCCTAGACGATGTGGGATGTCACAGTTTCTGAGTTTGCAGCTGTATGGTTTATTATTAGATTTCATGTCAGCGCTCCTCTTGCGATGAAGGTTAAACCCTTGACGCCAGTGAATGTTCATGTAGTCCTCCATGGAGGATTCAAATGAATGAAAATCTCTAGGACTTTAGCCTTAAGATATTTTTAGAGGAGTAAATTTTGTTGCGAATCAACCGATAGGCTTAAAGCATACGCTTTCTTGGAGTTGTATTTTGCTTAATTCTCTTACTCGTGGTGCAAAAAATGCCTTACACTTTGATAACCTTTGCAATGTTGCCCTAAGAACGTTCTATTTGTCTTTTTTTATTTTTCAGTTTCCCAAAAAAAAAAAAAAAAAGGCGAAATAACCAAGTGAAGAGAACAGGTGTCCTGACGGTGGTGCTACATTTCATCACCAAATAGCAAAGTTGGAGCAGCACACACTCATGCAGGAAAATCCAAAAATCCTTCCATCCGTCACTAGTACAAGAGCTTGCCACCAACACGTGCCCTCCTTACATGTAATGATATTGTTGCTGAAGTTGATCATCATCTCTGCCACTACCACTGCCCACCGTATTATTTCAAACTCATCAACTTCTCTCTCTCTCTCTCTCTCTCTCTCTCTCTCTCTGGATCTTATCTCTTCCTATCTGAATTTGATCGGTCACATTTTGGACCAGCATCGGTTACAAAACAAAAAAGAAACAAAGCTGTTGTGTGTTTAACAAGGGTTAATCAAGGCTGTTTGGTGAACCGAACCGATGGATTTGTTTAATTCGGTGTTGAATTGGGTGGTGCCACCGGCAAGTTTAGTGATGCTGGCGTTTGCTTGGCCAGCGTTGACCTTCATCAGTGGTTGTGAGTGGCTTTACAATTTGTTCAACAGTGAAATTGTCGAAGATAAGGTGGTTATAATTACAGGAGCTTCTTCTGGCATAGGAGAGGTAATTATAAGTCCCCTATTTGCAATAAAATGTATGCATTAATTTTGAAGTTCATCCTGTTTCAAACAAAGTTTTAAATAATCGGTTTTCGTGAAAATATCGACAATATGATATTTAATATTGATATCGCTAAACGTCGATGAAAATGTGGTTCAAAACGTGAAATTTTTTATTCTGAAACTTTGTAGCAAATGTTTATCACCTAAGAATGCATGTATATTGCATATTAACTTCCTAAAACACAGTTAACCTTACAAGTATATGATAAGTAAGAGGATACAATGCAGGAAACAGATACGTTGGTAGTTTGATAAAAGTGGTTATGTGTGTGTGTGTGTGTGTAAAGCATAAAAGTTGTAATTGCAGCAAATTGCATACGAATATGCAAAGAGGAGGGCGAATATTGTACTAGTGGCACGAAGAGAGAACAGACTGCGAGTGATCAGTGAGAATGCAAGGCTTATAGGTGCAAAGCATGTCATGATTATAGCTGCAGACGTTGTCAAGGAAGAGGAATGCAGGAGATTTATCAGTGAAACAATAAGCTTCCATGGCCGAGGTATGCGCCACCTAAATGTTTCTGGGAGAAAATTTGTTATTTAGAAAGCCATAGTTTTAAAAACAAAAGTTTTACACTTGAAATAACAAATGGGTCATAAGCATTACTGAGCGGTCTGCAGATTTATACAATTTTGTGTACATTTGTATATTATTATTTATTTGTTTGTTTAAACAATGCAATTGTTCATGACTTCTAATTATCCATTTTGGCAAAGAACCCTACCGATAAACTTCATCGCTAGTCGGACGGCGGGTTGAGGCCTAGTGCCTAGACGGGTGCCTTGGAGGATTTAAGTAAATCAATTATATTTTGTGTAAATAAGTGTTTATTATACTTAAAATATATATAATTACATCATAAACTACAAAATAGAATAAAATATATATTATGAGGTATTGGAACATAAAATGAATGGTTTATAGTAAGTGGAAGAATGAATAGTGGTATTTGTTTTATGTTAATTGCCTACTAAGCTGAAAACAACAATTCTGCAGTTGCACTCTTATGATTTTTTATAATTACAAACTAAATTAATAGGTAATTCTTTCATGGTCTCTCCATGGGATGAATTTTGTGCCTTCAGTGGTGCCATGATGTTAGTTATGATTATAAAGTAGTTATTTTGATTTGTCTCTGATTTTGCAGTGGATCACCTTGTAAATACAGTAAGTCTAGGACACACATTCTACTTCGAGGAAGTTACAGACACGTCTGTCTTTCCCCATTTGTTGGTAAGTATTGCAAAGTTGCATGATTAGAAGTCCAAATGTTTGCACTATAATTCTAAAGCAAATTGCTCTTCCTTATGTGGAAAATTATCTATCGATGAGATATTGTGGTTTTGAATATCTTTGTTCTCAGGATATAAATTTCTGGGGGAATGTATATCCAACGTATGTTGCTCTTCCTTACCTACGTCGAACCAATGGAAAGATCATTGTTAATGCATCAGTTGAGAGCTGGTTACCTCTACCGAGAATGAGTTTATATGCTGTAAGTATATACTACTCAATCAAAAATTTCATTTTACTTTCGGAAAATTGGTCAAGTATATTAACATTTCAAAATGAGAAATATACATGGGACTAGAATTGTATATATTTCATCCACAAATTAGAATAATCCAGTGCTTAGGATGCATTCCATGATCACCAAATTTCCTTGACAAACTTATCTAGGACAAATTTTTGTAGTCGAAGTAACTACGTTGAAGACCTTGCAATCGTCAATTTATTACTATCCTTTTGTTGTGTTTGAATCACCAGGCAGCAAAGGCAGCTCTGGTTAACTTTTATGAGACCTTGAGATTAGAAGTAAACCATGAGGTAGGGATAACAATTGCAACTCACGGATGGATTGAAAGTGAGATGACAAGAGGCAAGTTCATGCTAGAGGAAGGCGCCGAAATGCAATGGAAAGAAGAAAGGGAGGTACTGGTTGGTCGATGGCTTTGATATTTCATTATGTTAGCCCAATGAGGCATGCGCCATTGCTAGTTGCTCTGGTTTTCAAACCCAGAGCATGACAGATTAAGAAACAGTACTTCAGATGTGCTATATATCAATGAAACATATTTATATTGTTTTAGGTACATGTGATCGGTGGTCCTGTTGAAGATTTTGCCAGGTTGATTGTAGCTGGGGCTTGTCGAGGAGATTCGTACGTTAAGTATCCAAGCTGGTATGACATATTCCTGCTGTACAGGGTGTTTGTGCCTAACACCCTGCATTGGACATTCCGCCTCATTCTTCCAACGCACGGTGGAAGGAGGACTTCCCTTGTGGGCACCGGGAGGCCTATTTCTGAAGGCTATGGAAGGCCTTTGTTGGAAGGCACTCCTCCAAGGAGATTTGTTGGTCCCAACACAATTTCCCAACAGAGTCCCTCGCGTCCGCTAAAAATGGAATGAAATTTATAGCATTTATGGGAAAGTAGCTATGTTAGTAGCCTCTTATAAGAAATTATGGTTGTTGAACTTATGTTTTAGCCGCGCGCGGAGATTTTGAACTGTTAAACAAAGTTATTGCATTCGATATGTAGTTCATGTAATAATCCCTTCGGTGTTAGTAAATTTCATAGAGAATCCCCTGTGAACATGTGGCCTTAGGAATATTCTAAACAGTTTTAGTACTTTTCACGTTGTCAGATTAACAGGTCATGCAGTGTTTTTGAAAGAGTCATTGGTTGATCACCCGAGAATGAGGCCACATAATACTGGGTTTTGGGATAACTTTGGGATTTTTTTTAATTTTTATTTTATTTTTTAACAAACAATATTATCTCTACAAAGGGAGAGAAGATGGGTGTAGCCTCACAATAGGCTATCAATAATGTGGTTCAAACTCGCATTTGGACGAGAATCGAATTTAAGACTTCTCACTTACAACTAAAGAGGAATACCAACTTAAAGATTCTATAATCTAAACCAATTGATCCACATCTGCTGCTAAGGTATAAGAGGTATGTATGGTTACTGAAATGTATTCTCATCACTTTTACTAAGCGTTTTGACACGTCATTTTGATTTTGTGGTAAAGGTGGTCTAATAATTAGGCCTTGTTTGGTAGCTTGTATAAGGGATCGGAAAGGATAAGTAATACGGACCTGGGTGTTTGGTGCAACTATGTAAAAAATAGTCGATGAATTGGCTTGCCAACATGCATTGGATATGGAACAAGACAGGTTAACATATGAGCAAGACAAGGCTAGAGATAAAGCAAATGCAAGAGAAAGAGAGTTGAATCAACAAGAAAGGCAAGAGGAGAAGGATCGAGAGATCATGTCCTGACACCTCGATGGTGAATCTCCTAATTCAAAACGTTTTTGGAGAAGTGAAAATAATCGCATCGTGAGAAGGTTTCCTTGGAAGATGAGGAAGTTCCATACACTGAAGACGGACCAAGCCACATTGATTTTATCCCCTAGCTTAAAACTAATTATATTTGTTGTAGTACTATGACTTTTCATTGTATTTAAAATTATTTATTGGAATTAGACTTTAATTATATTTGTTGTAATGTCCACATTCATTAAAAAATTAAAACATATATTTATGAACACTAATCGCCTTTACCCTTGCTGTTTTTCTTTCCAAACGAGTGAACTTGCACAAAGGCAATCCCAATTTTTCAGTGAATTGTAAAAGCAATATTATTGTCCTTGCCCTTCAATTGCCATTGCTCTCAACCAAGTGAATTGTAAAAGCAATATTATTGTCCTTGCCCTTCAATTGCCATTGCTCTCGACCAACTGGTGGAGATGCTCTTACTAAATAGAATTTCAACTTGAATTTGGGGTTCCACACATAAATTTACCAGCAATTAAGGCATTTACCCAGTTTAAAGTAAGATTTACAAGGCCTGCTAAAAGGGGGTACTAAAATTTTGTGATTTTCCACCGTCATCGATCAAATACAGGGGACTTACAGCCGAAGACCTTCTCTTTACCCGATTGTGGCTTCTCTTTACCAGATTGTGGCGCCATGCTGCTTGAATGGAAGTAGCTGCCAGTAACTCCTCCCGCGAGTTTGGCATGTCCTTGTTGAAATGCCACCAAAATTTAGAGACTAGAGTCTTCAAGTCGTTGGCCATTAGAGCAAATGCTTCCACTTTTGTGTGTGCCTTAACAATTCTGGTAGAGATGGGTATGTCAGAAAAGGAGGTACACTTTGATGCCCAATCTAGCAATTCTTCGCCACAGAAATCGCTTTTCGTAAGACAGCGAGTTCTTAATGCCAATCCACTTGATCTTTCAATACCGTTATTAGATGTATAGGTCCATACGATGCCTTGCGTGATGAACAACATCTTGTCAAGTAGTTCTCCCTCTCGAATCATATAACTATCTTCATTATATGTAACTGGCTTAAGATTCTCACAAATTACCTTCAATACTTGTTCATCGACAGTTTGCAGCATAGGCACCTATATGCATTAGGTACAAACACAGATAATAAATTAATCAAATCACTTGTCACGAGCGATAGCATTAATGAAAGGCTATGTAGACATGCTTGTAAGGGCGTCTACCCGTATTAGAAACTGCATCACCAAGTGTGTCAGATTGCGGTCTAAATAGTATTACTCGTATCATTATACATATATACTCGTACGGTCAGCCAGCCTTGAGAATTTATTGTGGGAGAATTATAGCCTTGTTATTGGCCCTAGTTTCCTGATAGAAATTAAGAGGAACATAGAACTTACTTTCTTTAGCATGGCCAAGCAGAGATGGTACTTGATGTTGTTCTTATGTTCCAATGGAAGAATAGAGAGCATATTCACCACATGAATTTCTTTGTTTTTTTCAAGCTTTCGTTGTAAGTTTTCCATGAACACCGCCTTCAGTTCCTTGGGGAGGCCATTCCTAGATAACAATAATTCTATTTCTAGATCTTTCATTTTCATCTTCTGTCTTAGCTTCTCTGATCTTGTAGTTGACAACTGCATATACGTCTATTCCACGACAAGAGAAAGGTACTTCATCAGTTCGTTAGTATTATGCAAAAGTTCATTTTATGGAATCAGGATCAATAACACAATGTTGTGTCACAATGTGGTTAGAAGAAAGGGACTCAATCGGTGTTAATATATGAGTCGGACAAAAAATGAACGACACCAGTAAATTTATTTCTCCGATAAGGGGTTAAATCATGTTTATAGACTCATCACCCTACCAACATAATCCTTCAGTAGAAGAAGCCATTTCTGGTACAAACTCGAACGGATATAGCATTTCATCACTTATATCCATCAGACATATATATATATATATATATATATATATATATTTTCCAGGAGATAAAAAGTGATAATTCTAGATATATATATCCAACACCAACCTGTAAATTTCCAATGAGATATAAGAATAGTAGCAAGCCAATTATGGAAATAGAAACCGCAAAGAGGTTTTCCCATGCATAGGTACTAGTCTGCAGGTTTTGACCAAGAGAACTGCAAAATTGAAGTCGAGCAAATATTTAAAAGATAACATATATATCTGAATCTCTAATTTCAAAATGCTCAAAGTAAGAACATATCACTTGCCGAGCAAGTAATTACTTGTTTATGCATTTGCTTGTTTTCTGTTTCTGTTAATTTTCTTTTTGTTTTCTACTCAGTTTAATATACATTTATGCAAGATCAAATCATTTTATAGATATGTGCAAACCTTAGATTTCTCAGACCCCACCAGAAACATTTCAAGAACTTTTGTGGATAATCTTGCAACCCCAACACATCAGATTGAATGGCTTCAAGAAATATGCCAAAATCAAACACTGTTGCATTTGGTTGATTTATAGGGCATAATTCATTTAGAAACGTCTCATTTCCATACGAAATGTCATCACAGTGAAAAGTACTAGGTTTGCATCTAGTTTTTGCACAAGCATACTGCCAGCAGGCCGTTACTCGTTGAACAGAAAAAAAGTACCAAAAGGCTCCGAGTACCTAAAAATAACACCAAGTACGTACTAAATTAATTAATTAGTCACCAGACTATAGCTACTTTAGTTTAAAGCAAATTTTAACGCTCAAGTAGTTAACCAAATATAAATTATACAGGACGGAAGCTTACATGACTAGCAAGGATGTAGAGAAAGAAATTGAATACACCTTTAACCCATATCTCTACGCTAGGATTCTTGTTGAGATTTTTGCACGATAAGTAGATGCGAAGAACCCGTGGCACATATTGCAATAGAACAAGAGAGCTTAGAAACTTCCTTGTATTCAAAGAACCTGAGCCCCTCATTTTTGAAAAGAAAATCAAAATTACTACCTGCAGATGTTACATTAATAAAGTAAGACAACAGTTAGTTAACTTGTAGCACATGTTCGATCAGTTAATCCATTGACTTGCCTTCAAAATATATCAATATATAGGTAGTTAACAAGCAGAAAACATTAATTCAAGTAGGCGATCTCTTTCTTACCTGTGGAAGGGGAAGAATACATAAAATGTCAATCGGGATGGATGACTGCAAAATCTTCTTGCCAAGTACCAAACCACCCATTCGTTTCAAAGAAACTGTATCAGACTTTACTTTTGATGCCCCAGAATATGCGTCAGAGAGCACTAGTGTTCTAGTTTGAAAAATAATGTGGACTATATAAGATAGGTCGGTCATTGATCGTAACATAAGAGCGGCTGTCTGCAAAGTTTTGTCCAATTGAAGACACTTGCCATCCCGATTGATGAGTGGAATGTAAAAGAACAAAGGATCCAACGAGACTGCCAAAACGCATGATATAATGAATATTATGTTCCACATCGGACCGAACGACCCTTGTGGATGAAGAATGTCCTTGATTAATACTGGCCAATATTTTTTACTCCGGCTATGACTATGTTCTTCATCGAATAATTTCACTGCAGCTTTTCCATTTGCAGCAGCATCTAAACTCCAAGTAGGTTCTGGAATCCTGAAGAAGACACGCCAAAGGTTGAAAAATTGCACTCATAATATTCTTGATACGAAATAAATTCAGAAGTAATAAAAAAAAAAGTAAAATCTTAGATTGCAAGAAACTGACCTCACAGCCGCAAAAAAGGTTTTCTCTTCAGTGTTCTTCATAACTAGAGTTACTTCGGGGCTATCAACATATTGTTCGCAATGGACTTTAAATTATTACTATTGTGTGCGCGCGCGCGTGTGTAATTTTTGTAATTGTAGGGAAATGACAAGTCTGATATGAATTGAGCTTTCAATGGGAAGTTTCTTCGAGTTTATGATTTCGGACCTCGGTTTCGCCAACAAATGCAATAATTAATACATTTGTAAGCTAGCAACAACCAAGTAAGAGTGTAGTTTATAAATACTATATCAACTTTTTGCAAGCTAGCAAATTCTCTTATTCTCCAAACGTTACCATGTCATCTCAGCCGGCTAGAAGTAAAAAATTAACACGACAAACAAATAGCATTCAAAACATATATTGCAGGCGGAAGCATTAGGGTGGCCTTCACTTGTGTGGATAAGGGGTTGAGCAGAGTGCAGGTGACGATCGATGCAAGGGCGGTGTTATCCATGTCATTCGTTTCTTGGATCCTCGATAACATATGACAAAGCCTCTCATGCCGGGGCAGTGTTTTGTTATGGTTTAGGCAGTGGCAAAGCCAGGAATAGTCGAGGGAAGGGCGAAATTTAAAACTGTAAAAAGTTTAGAAACATGTAGACAATCAAATCATTTTAAATCATTTCATTTAAAATTGAACACAAACAGTACCTGACGAAAATTGACCGCACGATATGATAGACGAACACAATTCACGGATCCCCGGGATCCTCACAAAGATGATCCTGTTTGATCCTTTTCTATCTTGTTTTCCCTTCGTCCTCTCCGTGCAAGTTTCAGCACACTCTCTCTAGCTCTCTCGTTCTCTCCGTCTAAGTTTCAATTTTCTACAACTGACATGCGGCATATTGCTGAAGAGCAGCAGCAAACCTTCCAAAGGCGACCACAAGTCCTACTAGAAAGATCATAGGGGACTAGGTATTTAAAAAAAAAAAAAAAATTAAACACAGCAGCATCAACGCAGCGCTGCATACCAGAAGCAAAACTAGATTCCGACAGGCTCAAAAGACCAGAGGGGCGAAATCCTCCCTCTCAGTGGCGATTTCCAACAAGCGTAGGGGTGGCTGCCCCTCCTTGTCCCTCTGTAGCTTTGCCACTGGGTTTAGGTACCATTTTATGGGATCAATTTCAGCCAACTTAATTGGCTTTCTGATATCGGGACAGTTGATGCTAATATATGCATTCGCCTTCAGTTTTATCAATAATATGCAGCTTAACATCGACCATGTGCCATTTGCTAGAGATGTTTTGAACTCCTAGATATGAACGAACAAAAGCTCTGTTACCATTTGTTGGATAAACGATGAAATATACTAGGTACTACTGAGAATTTGAGTTACCACTGCAAAGCTCTTGATTGTATTGCTTCTTGCTTTTCTTAATTTCTTATTACAACTATAAGCCAAAGGCTTTATAAAGAGAATACAAATATACTTTAGAGAGTTCTTTTTAGACAAATGAATAGACAATGTGGAGGTATAAATTAACCACATCCAATAGGAGAACGATAAGTGAACTATTTGCTCATGACTGATTTACTCTTAACATCGTGAGCAGACCAAACACAAAACCCTAGCTAAGCATGTGTCTACCCTATGGGTGTTGGGCCTTCGGGTTCAAGTACATGTCATGTCATCCTCTATGGACCCATGATATACCCAATCCTACGACTTTGCCATCCCCGACTCAAGGAGGCAAGAATCAACTCTTTGGAGTCTCACTTGGGTGTCATCCTCTCCGGCAAATCAACCAGCTAAAGACGGCGCCTACCACCAAAGATCTGCTCAAGCAGTCTCCACAATAAGGTCTACACCATCCTAGCAGAACAAAAGATCTACCTAGAATCTGCAACCTTACTAGTCGACTGCCTACATGGAGTCTCTCTTACAAATATCGAATTAGTCAAACAAGGAGATCCATAATTGCAACTTTTTACTCAGAACTCTCTCTTGTTCGATATCTCTCAAACTATTTCTGACTTAGGCATCGCAGCCTCTGGCAATCACCTTCTCCCCCCACCTCCCCCACCATCACCCCCCCCCCCCCCCAGCGCCCCGCCTCTGTTTTTGTTTCAAGGGTGTTCGTCAATTATGCTAACAGTGTCACTTGTTTTGCAAGTGTGATTTTCATCAATCCATCGTTGGAGGAATTTGCATCCACATACATCTCGGAACTCCAAATAATAATTTTAGTATAATTGCTGTTGGAAATGTTTAGATTAAGGGTAATATTAGGGAGACTAAATTTTAGAAATTAAAGGACATAAAAGTTGATAATTAGTTTATTACTTAAACCTTGATAAATGTGCTCAGCCTTACTCTGACCATCATCGTGTGATTCACCAATGCTAAAACTCGAACCAATGATGTGCCGTATGAATAAAGAAATACAATATATATATAGGCATAAATTTAAACCTATGAGATCCTCTACTTGTTTTTTCCTTCTAATTTGAGCCGTTGAACAGAATCTAACGGCTGCCTATTGTGCCACGTTATTTAAAGACAGCAAGCACTATGGTTTTTGCAAGCATTTGGATGTGTTTTTCCACAATTATCTTTATCAAATGTCAGACATACCTAGTTGTTAGAATTATGAGAGCGTTCGGAAGAAATTAAGGCTTTGACATCCGTAGAGTCTGACTTTTCTTCTGGGTGGTAGTGTTTTGTTAGGGAAGCAGTTTGTGTAGATGGAACCAGACTAGTGCTTTCGAGTCGTTATGTGTTATGTTATATCGAGTCCTTCTCATGTAAGGAAATTTCAAATCACATTTAGTTTTCATTATCAATTATGGTTTTAGAATTGTTTACTTCTTTTGGAATAACTTGTTTTTATTACAGAATGTTAGAACCAAATTTGCGAAAATCATAGTCCCATTGTGGGACTCCCACATGAAAGAACTCGGTAAAAAGCCTTTACTTGAGGGAAAGTAAAACCACATTGGAAAAAAAACAACGAGCAAGGAAAATGACGCTTCCACACGCCCAGTAAAAACATCCCAGTAAACAAACAAATCCCCCTCCATGCCATGAACGTGTTGCAACACACCAAATGGAAATGTAATTTTTAATTCCATCTTTTATATTTACTTTTTTAAATACTGTAAAATCAAATATTAATTGAATAGCGGGTCTTATGGAAAACTTAAAAATCTTGAATGAATACAATCGGATTTTTAGACCATCTCTAAAGGCTAAGTGTAATGTCGCATAATCAAATTTAACAGTAGGAAGAAACTCTAACTGATATGTCAATATGAACCTTTTGCTATCAAATTTGACATGTGAAAAAAAGTTGCTGTCAATTAGTTTTCTTATTATTTTATTATGTGTGTTCTATTAATACACCAATTTTAAATTTTAAAATTTATTTTAATTGATTTTTTTAAATGAATCCTACAAATATCAATTATAACAAAAAAAAAATTTAGAGAATGAAAAAATATGACATTGTGTAGAAAAATAATTCAAGCTCGAGCACAAAAAATCAAACATACTGCTTTGATCAATTGGCCTAATTCACATAAGTCAAAAACCAATTTGTTTGGATGAGAGCAAATTTGAGTGGGTCTAGAGATTGGGATGCAAAGTCCACACTTCTCTAGCTCTTACGAATTGGGTCAGTCCACTCAGCAACCCCTCTCTCAGACGAAAATTCAAATTCTAGCCCTTGCCATGAGAGATTTTTGGGACTTCCTACTTGCTTAGAGAAGGATATGCGGAAACTTTTTTGTTCAATCAAGGACCATGTTTGGAACAAAGTATACAAAGGGGAAGGCAAATTAATTTCTCAGGGAGGAAGATAAGTGTTGACTGAAGCAATGTGGCAAGCTATACCCTATTATACAATGCTTTCAGTTACTACTTTTGTAGTAGAGAAACTTGCAGAAACTTATGCACATAAAGAAGTGGGTACTTCACTACTTCAACTGCAATGTTAGAGGTAACTCGTATGGATGCTTTATCTATCAGTTTGATAGGATTAGCAATTTAGCTGCAAAAACGTAAACAACTAAATAAAAACAATGTCTAAAATGCACCTGCCAATAGTTATATATATAGATTACAATACAATACAATACGCAGGTAAATACAGCAGCTTGTAGAAATTAGAATCATCAATCTCAATCAGGTCAGCAATAACACCTATGACTTCGATCAAAACCTTGGCATGCCCTTGACTGCCCCGTCGTCCCATTCGGTGGGAAAAGGTCGCAAGAGAAGCGCGTCAGTTGGGAAGCATCCGGTCCAAACAACGTAGTATTATACCTAAAAAAACCCAACAGCTTCAGTCACAGGCTCCCCGACCCATAACAACTTGGGGAGGTGGAGGAAGAGGAGGAGGAGATGATTAGATCGTTGTCCGCATCGCTTCCGACGTACGACCTCGCCATTACCACCGAGAAATCAAGAGTGGTCTGGTTCATCTTACTTACATAGATGGGAGGCAACGGCGCCGTTCCCAGCTTGAGATTGCTGTCGCTTTCCTGTCGTCGACGTCGCCATAGAAGATATCGGCTTGAAGGTTCTCGTATTACAACTCCAGCTTCCGGTTGGGATTTATAGCAACCAGCGTCAAGTCCCACGTGGCGGTTAAGTACTCGCTGCTGGATGCGGCGGTGAGTGGGCACGGCGACACGGCTACCAAGTCGACCAGGAACTCAGGGAATTCAGGGCTGAGCTTCGCGTCACGCAATAAAGTCCACGACAAGGCTGTGGCGAGAATGATTGCCAATAGCGCAGCGAAGCAGAAGAAAACAATTTTACAAAGCCGTCCGGCGGAGGAAGACTTTGCCATTCCCATTCGATCTTTTAATTCACTATCCTATAGACTTATTCGGCAGAATCGATCAGACCAACCGAAGGAGAGAGAGAGATGGGGATGGGATTAAAGCAGAGGGTGTTGAGCATGTAAATAGGCAGGTGTTTCCAAAGCCTAAAGTTGCAAGGATTTCCAGTTCCAGTTGAACTCGGAGTTTACTGTTTACCCAACATGACCA